GAGCATGAGATGAAAAGATTTCGACCCTACATACGACTGCCTTACTCTAGATGCAAATAAGACAGGCAGACCATGCTAACCTCACCCCAGATGGCTTCCTGGCTCCAGTCTGCGACTGCAGCAGCAGCAGACTCCTCTGGAGTTTTTTACTCTAACTTTTTCTGAATGACATTCACAAAATGAAGAGCATGAATCCTTGATGTTGACGATAAAAGAGAGCATCCCTATTCCTAGAGTTCTCCATGGTTATTGGTAGGAAGGAGACATAAGCTTTGATGTGCCCCTCCTTATAGAAGAGGTATACCAGGCTATAACACCACAAGAGACACTTACTAAACAGTTATTTGACATCAGCATCATCAGAAGATATTTGGGAATATCTTCTGGTGGAGAAAGAATATAAAATGCTTAATCTTTTTGCTGTCAAACATAGTTTTGAGCACTTGGCACTGACACATCTGGGATCCTCACACCCCACCCAATGGTTTAAAAATAATTAAAAGAAAATGGGGTTCAAATGGTTGCTGTGGGTTTTTCGGGCTCTTCGGCCGTGTTCTGAAGGTTGTTCTTCCTAATGTTTCGCCAGTCTCTGTGGCCGGGCTAACACAACCCCCTCTGTGCTCTGTGCTGTCCTCTGAAGATGCCGACCACAGAGACTAGCGAAATGTTAGGAAGAACAACCTTCAGAACACGGCCAAAGAGCCTGAAAAACCCACAACAACCCTTAGATCCTGGCCGTGAAAGCCTTCGTGAATACAAAATAGGGTTCATTGTTACTGTATTGGTTTCTGGATGGATACAATGAGGCTGCGGTATTCTGCTGTAGTTTATACCATTACATAACTTTAGAGTCTGTGGCATTATTGGATGTCATTTTTCCTTGACAGATTATCTGTGCATGACATAGTATTATTTCAAATCAGTTACCACTGTATTCTGTATTCTATATGAACTCTGCCCTCATGCATGAAAATGGCTGGTTTGTTGACTTGATCAAGACTGCAGTAATTCAGATGAGATTTCTGTTTGTCAATTTGTTTCTGGATACTAGTTGTGATCTTCAAAACTGTAACAGACTTCTGTTCCCTTTTTAATGAGGATATAACTTTTTTTTAGAACACCATGAAAACTGCCGTTTACTGCCAAGCATGTAGACAAAACAGAAGCTTTGATTTGTGCTGGTATTTGATTTGAAAAATCGTTACTCTTTTTACCAGCGTTCTTTGTTAAATCATGTTATTTAATATTGAGGAGTGTCATTGTGTACATGCATGGGGGGGCTTACAAGATAACTTATATGCCATTCTTCATATATTCTGAAGGTCAGTAAAACAATGAGTTCATTTTTTTTTTCTTGCAGATCTTCAGAGTAAGTCTTTTGTCTTGAATAATATGTGAGGGCGGGGGAGCAACCTATAAATATGACAGTAATTGCTTGTTGCCTTAATTGCAAGTCTGCAGTAGTCTGTGTAGAGTTGTAAACAAATGCACATTTAAATAATCTATCAGTATAAATGGTTGGCACCATTGTTTCTTTAATGAGATTGCATTTGAATCAGAAATGTGTGGTAGGAAAAAGAGGAGAGCAATTAAAGAGCTTTGCAAGGTGTGTGTTGCTCTTAAGACCTTATAATATTGTGGCGGAACTCTGAAGCATGTGTGAGTTTTGAGATTGATTTCTTTCCCTATGGAACACGACTTCAGAAATGTATTGCTGAATCCCATTTGAGCCGCCATCATTCACTCAGAAACATCTGCTTCCTAAGATTACAAGCATAGGCTGCCGTCCAAAAGATCCGATGGGTATGTAAAAGAAATTCTGCATAGAGGAGGTTTGCAGATTTCCTAGCTTCACCTCTCTGCCCCCCAAAAGCCAGTCTTGGAGGCCCTTCTAAAACCTATTTACAGGAGGTCTGGGAGCTGGATTGCACTCACACGGAGGAGCCTTGCTGATACATACCTTGTTTTGTGGTCACTGGCCAGATTGCAAACTGCCTGGAAAACCTATGCATTGCCACTTTGAAAGAAGAGCAATATAATATATAATGGGCAAAACCTGGTTGGCTAACTACATGGTTGCTACTCCATGTTGCGTCTATTGTAGCTACAATAGCACCAGGATGGAAGTGGTGTCCGTGAAGCACTTCTGTCAGTGTACTGTGCCAGGGATGTGCAGTGGACTGTACAATTGAACTGTCCAATTCCTTGTTGCTGGGTGTTATGCTGGTATAATTTTACATTATACCTCAACGGACAGGAATTTGCCCACTATATAATATATAATAAATATGATGAATAAATGCTAAAATCCAAGCTGTACATTTCTTAGAGGTCAAGAGTAACCAACCAAAGCCCAAGGACCTCACCCTCAATCCTGGGACTTTGGGGAGAAGCCTGTGTTCTCTGGACGTTGCGTAACATTTTGAAAGACAGACTTTGAGATCTCAAGTGGTCAATATAAATTTGGTATTTCAGACCCTTTTACCTATTCCTTATATAGTCCCCCACTTAGGCTAATGGTTTGGGGAAAAACAGACCTAAAAAGTATAAAGGGCATTACCGAAATGGCAAGTCACATGCCCTAGAGGGTGAAGTTGGCCATTTTAGTTCATTCTTTTAAAAATGGTGACAGTATGGATGGGTGGTCAGAAGATGCACTGGGGGCTCTGCAGTGTGTGCTTTGTCTACCCCAACATAGGCTGCTTTTCTGGGTACACATATTAGAATCAAGTGTCATTGAAATATATGGAATCGGCTTCTAAGAAATGTTTGATCTTTAGTACATTATCTGTAATCCTATTTTCACTGAATGCCTGGTTTACAAAAACAATCTTTTAAAATAATGAACAGACACTTAAGTCCTTTAGCCCATTTTTATTAAGAAGACCTTATACGATCAGTCTACATCCCAATCCCAAGAAGGGCAGGGCCAAAGAATGCTCCAACTACTGTACAATTGCACTCATTTCACATGCTAGCAAGGTTATGGTCAAAATCCTACAAGGCAGGCTTTAGCAGTATGTGGACCGAGAACTCCCAGAAGTACAAGCTGGGTTTCGAAGGGGCAGAGGAACTAGAGACCAAATTGCTAACATGTGCTGGATTATGGAGAAAGCCAGAGAGCTCCAGAAAAACCTTGACTATGCAAAAGCCTTTGATTGTGTGGACCACAACAAACTATGGCAAGTTCTTAAAGAAATGGGAGTGCCTGACCACCTTATCTATCTCCTGAGAAATATATATGTGGGACAGGAAGCAACAGTTAGAACCGGATATAGAACAACTGATTGGTTCAAAATTGGGAAAGGAGTACGAGAAGGCTGTATGTTGCCTCCCTGCTTATTTAACTTATATGCAGAATACATCATGCGAAGGGCTGGACTGGATGAATCTCAATTAAGATTGCTGGAAGAAATATCAATGACTTCAGATGCAGATGATACCACTCTGATAGCAGAAAGTGAAGAGGAATTAAAAAACCTCTTTATGAGGATGAAAGAGGAGAGTGCAAAAATGGTCTGAAGCTCAACATAAAAAAAACCCCTAAGATCATGGCCACTGGTCCCATCACCTCCTGGCAAATAGAAGGGGAAGATATGGAAGTAGTGACAGATTTTACTTTCTTGGGCTCCATGATTACTGCAGATGGTGACAGCAGCCACAAAATTAAAAGATGCCTGCTTCTTGGGAGGAAAGCAATGACAAACCTAATGCTTAAAAAGCAGAGATCTCACCTTGCCGACAAAGGTCCCCATAGTCAAAGCTACGGTTTTTCCAGCAGCGATGTGCGGAAGTGAGAGCTGGACCATAAAGAAGGCTAATCGCCGAAGAATTGATGCTTTTGAATTGTGGTGCTGGAGGAGACTCTTAAGAGTCCCCTGGACTCCAAGGAGAACAAACCTATCCATTTTGAAGGAAATCAACCCGGAGTGCTCACTGGAAAGACAGATCCTGAAGATGAGGCTCCAATACTTTGGCCATCTCATGAGAAGAGAAGACTCTCTGGAAAAGATCCTGATGTTGGGAAAGTGTGAAGGCAAGAGGAGAAGGGGACGACAGAGGACGAGATGGTTGGACACTGTCATCAAAACTACCAACATGAATTTGACCCAACTCTGGGAGGCAGTGGAAGACAGGAGGGCCTGGCGTGCTCTGGTCCATGGAGTCACGAAGAGTCGGACACGACTTAACAACTAAACAACAACAAAAATACTATCAAGAGGAACAAGGGGTCCTGTGTATTAAAATTTAAAGTAAGGATTTAATATGCCATTCCATCTGAGAAGCAATTAAATTTCCAGCAGTGTAAGCTGACTAAAGAGCTCAATGGGCTAGGCATCTGGCTATGGAACCAGAGGTTGGGATTAGAATTTGACTCCCTACTATGCTTCTCAGGATAGGAGCCAGGCTGTGTAGCCTTGGGCAAAGTACACAGACCTGGAACAGCCTAAGAAGAAGGGAGTATTAAACCACTTCTGGATACTCGATACTTAGAAACTGTTGGAAATAGCTGCCATAAATTGGAATTGACTTGATGTAATTATTGTTAAACAACCAGTATTACAACATTTTGGTATAAATCAAACTGTGAATCTATAGAAATAACTTTTGAATATAAGTGTAGAATACCAAATTCCTATTCATTCACTGGATCTACTCCAATTGAAACTATGAGTGGGGTTTAAATTATTTTGTTATTTGAGTATAGGATATAATATTGGTGGTTCAATTCAGTCATTTTGAATGGTGCCGTTAAATGTTTTTGGGTACTCACCTTAGGAGCTGCCTTGGGTTCTTTTTAAGGAAAAAGGCGGGATAAAAATATTTTAAAATAAATAAATAAAATAAAGAGTCACTTTGCTACTTTCAGAAGTTTTTCCATAGTGCCTACAGAAGTTTGCCTTCTAAAAGTTTGTGGGCAAGAACTTGCATGTTACACAATAATGCTAAAAGTTTGAGTTATTAGTTACAGATATATTTTTTTTCCACTTACCTTGTAGCCGTCCTCAGAAGGTGTGCTTGTGTCCATTTCTGCCAGTTCATCCTCTGAATGTCTCCACTTGTCTGTATATCATCCAGCATCCAGCAGAGGTGAGTTAGATTGTTTAAGAAATGTGTGCATATGTGCTATTCAGCTGGAGTCAACTTACAGCAACTCTAATAGGTTCTTTCAAGGGAAGTGAGATATTTAAGGATTAGGAGAATGGTTCCCTACTGTGCCTCCTTGACAGGGGCTGGACGTGATGGTCCATAGGGTCTCTTCCAGATTTGCAGTTCTAAGATGAGGAGGATGATTATTTGAAGCCAAGTCCCCTGTTCTCTCACTCTGTCCGTTGTACCAGACCACCCTTGCCCTACAGCCATCCTCAAAGGGTGAGCTTCTGCCAATTTCTGCCAGTTTGTCCTCTGAAGGTCTCCACCTGTTTGTATGTCATCAAGCAGAAGTGGGTTAGATTGTTAAAGAAATGGTAGAAATACTGTGGAACAGTCAGTTCCATGTCTGGTTCCTCTCTGCCCCCTGCTTGTGCGAGGTGAAACCCAACAATCCCTTGCATGAGTGGAAAGTGCTTGTTTAAAACAACAGGGTGATCTCCAGCATAGGAACGCTAGACTGATGATCAGCAGGGCTCAGGCAGAGCAGTCCATCCACAAAGCTGTTACGTTCTTTAAAAAAAAAACAGGACATAAGCCTTTATAATGTTTTTAGAGTGGACTATGTTGTTTTATAGACAGCCCATAAACAAAATAAGTACTGTAGATACAAAAGCTATTATCCAAACTAAGTTTCAAATGTATATACTGTATATGTTTTTTAGAATTCTGGTCACATTCTATTACTTCAATTTAAACTCAGTTTAACTTTAGTATCAACATTTTCGAGGAGTTCAAGGATGGCTTAGGTCCCAATGAAGGTTAAAGTATCTGTCTAGCAGCAATATGGTTGTATGATTTATAGTCAAGTGTGCATTATCTTTAGAATTGTAGTCAGAAGGGACACTTTCATCCAGGTGTTAAGCAGCAGATTGTGAGGTTTAGTTCATCTGATCCCCTAATCAAAGGAGAATTGATTTTGGTATTCATCCTATAGGTGAAATTCCAAACAACATGGGAACATTTTAAACATAAGGGCATTTAAGAAATAATTTGGTGGCTCATTGGATGCAGCTGCTATGTATGAGTCTCAAATTGCAGACCGTGCATTCTTTTTATCTTTCTATTCTTTGTTTCAAGATGGAGAGAAAACCGTAACAAAGAAGATCTGTTCATTTTTTTTTTGTTTGGCATTTGAAGTAGCAGAATGTGACTAGAGTTCTAAAAATATAAACTAATTGTCAGCAGTCTAGAATAGAGAAAAAAGTTTAGTAATCGCGAGGCATAAATAGTGCTGATTTAAAAATCTATGATGGAAATTTAAGACCACAGAATATTTTTTTATTGTTGTGTTCACGTTCATTGATCTTGTGCCATTAATGAACTTCATTTACTGCCTATAGAATTCCCCATTGAACAATGAACATTGAGTGCTGCGAGGTTTTATGTTTCATTTTACTCATTTCAGAGGAAATCAAATGATAGATTAAACAAAAATCCCAAAGTAATTTAGAAAGTTGGTTGGTGCCCCTCCCCATAGTCCAGGAACTTGGGAAACATTCTGAAGCCTTTATACAAGAAATGTTGCTCATGTTTCACCCTAATAGAATCATTTATGTGCAGTGGATACACATGTTGTTGTCTATGGAGATTGCATCTGAAATGCAGCCATTTTGCTTTCAGCCAGCAGGACAAAATAAACTTCATCTTCCACATGGTGTTTAAGCAACACCTATGCTACATCAACTGCTCAATTGTATCAGTTTTAAACATGACATGTTGTGCATGTTTTTAAAAGAAGTGTTACCTGTTGCAGCAGGCAGATGCCTCTTATTGTCTAATACTTAGTTTTAGTCAGGTCCAACGCCAGCATTCACTTGTTACTTCAGCCATCACCTACAAAGTGAAATTAGACGTAGTCCATGTATATTTATTCTTCCTTATCCTTTGTTGTGTACGGCATCTAACATCTAAAGCAAAAGTGCTGCCATTATTCCATTATTTGGTCTGAAATTCCCAATTATAGTCTGTAGGGGGCATGATTGGACATTTAGGGCAATTTTTTTATGGTGGCTATATCTTAAATAGGCCCTAGAGGAGTTACTTTACACTCAGTTCTGACTGGGAGATTACTTCCAGTTTTGGGGGGAAAGCCTCTGCAGGCCTAAACAGGTTTGAGGGGCAGATGGCTTGGAATAGCCGGTTTCATTCCCTAGAAGGCATGTGGGCCACTTCTGGCAATATTCTTTCTCTGGAACATAGAAGAGTTTTGTTTTTTATTGCTTTTCTTCAGCCCCTCCACCCTAGACGACCAATCTCCATATTTCAACAGGGACGGGAGAGAAGTGTGGCAGTGGAAGCCACACTCTAAGGCACCTTTGACCACCTCTTCTTCCATCAATGACCTTCCTTCCCACACAAGAAATATGCTGGAGTCCAGAATAGCAATCGGCACTGCTTGTGCTGCCAGAATTTTTTTCCTGTCTACTGTCACTTCAGGGTGGTGGAGGTTGAGCACTAAGAATTCTGTTTTTGTCCAGGAGCGTAGAAAGAAGCAGCAAAACAGTGGTGCCACCTTTGTTTAAAAGTGGCACAACCCAAGGAAAATCAGCTTACTAAAGGTCTAAAATTACTTAAGCAAAGCTTTGAAAAAGTCATAAAAGTGTACTTTTAGTTCAGCTGGCATTCCTTAGCTTGCACGACAATTAAGGTGCCACGTTTTGTCACACATATATAAACAAACACATAATCCTACCACTCCACAAATGTATTTTGAAGTCACATCCATGTTAGTCTATGCAAACATTTCAAAAAGAAAAACAAAACAAAAGCAAGAAGAAAACGACAATATAGTGGCACCTTAAAGACTAACTGCTATATTTTAATATAAACTTTCGTGAAACATGTCCAAATTGTCAGAGATACAGTCATGGGAAAAGAAAGTTCACCCTCTGAGTTCTATGGTTTTATGTAACAAGACATAATAAAAATCATCTGACCTTGGCAGGTCTGAAAATTAGGTAAATATTACCTCAGATGAACAAATACACATGATATATTACAACATGTCATGATTTATTTTACAACAATCCAAAATGGAGAAGCCATATATGAAAGATTAAGTACACCCTTACTGCTTCTACCGGAATTAAGAAGCTAAGTAGCAGCCAGGGCGGCGCTGGCTTTGGAGAGACCGCGGAGAAAACCCTCCCCCGGGGTCGCTCCGAAGCCTTCTCCCCCAGCTGGGTGGCGCTGGCTTCAGAGAGACAGCAGGGAAAATCCTCCCCCGCGGTCACTCCAAAGCCTTCTCCCCCAGCTGGGCGGCGCTGGCTTCGGAGAGACCGTGGGGGAGGGCTCCCCTGTGGTCCTTCCGAAGCGCCCGCCGGTCAGCTGGGGGAAAATGGGGCCTATGGGGAAAAATCGCAAAGCGATTTTCCCCCATAGGAAACATTGCAATGCGATCGCTTTTGCGATCGCAAAATCCACATCGCTATGCAGATTCGTCGTTAAACGGGGCGCTCGTTATGCAAGGCACCACTGTAGTTAGTTTTTCACACATGGCTTCTCCATTTTGACTTAATTTCTATAAAATAAATCATGGCACGGTGTAATATGTCATGTGTTGCTGTTCATTTGAGGTTGTATTTACCTAATTTTCAGACCTGCTAAGGACCTGATGATTTTTATTAAGTTTTTGATACGTAAAACCATAGAATTCAAAGAGGGTGTACTTTCTTTTTCACATCACTGTAAGAGTCAGAATATAGAGACTACGTGGTAAAACGTTGATGCAGGGCTCTAAGAGAAAGAGACAGTGGTGTTTGGTTTCATTTCACACCTACTATGATTTAAAACCCGTTTTGGTATTCAGTTCCTTTGAACTTGGTTCCATAAATGGCAACAGTGATCAAAGGAAACAACTAGAGAATGACGGGCTTTACCTTTGAGCCTTGTTCTGAAAAGGTGGGTCTGATTATTTGGAAAGGAAAATGACAGTGGATAACAACATAACTATCACATTTGGAGCAACTTTATATCTTGTGAAGAATGTCCTGGTAGACTGAAGTGATTTGTGTATTGCAATGTCTGATATCCAATTTGTGTCCATTATTTCTTTTGCATGGAGATTGTACTGTATGTCTTATGTGGAGTGCAAAGGGGCATTGATGGCAAAGGATAGCATAGATCACATTAGCAGAGGAACAAGTTAAAGTGACCTTGCTATTGTTGGGTGCTGTGACAGTTTTGCCAAAGTAAATGTGAGGACATCTGGGTTTGTAGCAGGGTATAGTCCTCATCGTTGTATCAGTGTTGTGTAACTCATGGTGTGTCAATAGTTGCTTGAGATTGTGAAATTGTCTGTAAGTAAGTGTAGGCTTGACACCAACTGCTTGAGAGGGTGAAGTATTCTTGTCAAGGATGGGCTGGAAATCATTTATGATTTGTGTAAGTGATCTCACTTGTGGACTGAAAGTGATGACTAGCAGTGTTGAGTAGTATTTCGAAGTCTGTCTTGCAATAAGTTGCTTCTGCGTACATGTATTTGTTTTGGCTGTTTAATTTGTTCTTAATGGACATGTAGTGTAGTCTGAGAAATGTGCTTTGGAGATCCTTGAGTTTGGACTCTCTCTATCTTGTGGGTCTGAGCAGATGTGATACTACCTAAGGGTTTGGTTGTGAACAATAGATTTAGTAGTGTGTTCAGGATGGAAGCTGGAGGTATTCAGGTAGATACATCAATCAGTGGGTTTTTGTTACAACATAGTGCTAAAATGTCCATGTTGTAGTTTCACAATGGTGTCAAGAAAATTTACCTGTTGTGTGTATTGGTTCAGGCTAAGGTTGATGTTCAGATAAAAGTCATTGAAATCCCCTTGAAATTTCTCCAGGGCTTTCTTTCCATCGGTCCCAATTAAAAAAAACATTATATCAATGTACTTCAAATAGAAGAGTGTTTTTTGGGTGTAGCAGTTAAGAAAGTGTTGTTCTAGGTCAGCCATAAATATACTTGCATACTGTGGAACCGTGCAAGTACCTAGGCTGTTGGAGGTACCTTCTGTTGTTCTGGAGGTAGGCTTTATTGTCAAAAGTGAAATAGTTGTGTGTGAGTACAAAGTGGGTGGTGACTATGTGTGCTTCATCCTTATTTTGAATGGTGTTCCCAACAACCTGTAGTCCGCCTCTGTGTGGGATGTTGGTGTAGAGAACTTCTACATCTAGTTTAGTTAGGATGGTGTTGCCAGAGAGGTTGTGAGTTAAGTTTTCTTAGAAAGTCTGTAGCATCTCTTACACACATTTAGTTGCATTAGTAGCATATGTTTTGAGGATGGAGAGCACATACAGTCATGCCCTGCTTAACGATTACCCCACATTATGACAAATCCGCTTCACGACAATATTTTTCCAATCACAATTGTGATCGCAAAACAATGTTTTAAATGTTTTTTTTTCGCTTTGCGAAGATCGATTCCCTGCTTTGGGAACTGATTCTTTGCATTAAAACAGCTGACGGTTGGGTTTTCAAAATGGGCGCCGGCTGCTCAAAATGGCTCCCCGCTGTGCTTAGGGACAGATTCCTCGCTATACAGGCACCGAAAATGGCCACCGTATGGAGGATCTTCGCTGGACTGTGAGTTTTTAGCCCATTGGAACACATTAACCAGGTTTTAATGCGTTTCAATGACGTTTTTATTTTCACTTTACTACGTTTTCATTCTACAGCGATTTCGCTGGAACGAATTAACATTGTTAAGCGAGGCACTGTATCTAGATGCCTCAACAGTGACAGTATTAATGCTTGATACAATGGGCCTGTCACGGTTCCCTGGTTTGTGTTTTTGGATAGCAGGTAGGAGGTGGATGATTGATGTTCTTGCAATATATTAGTCAGGATTTGTTCACATATTTTCAAGGAAGCTTTTCATAAGATACTGTTATTCTTTTTGACATTTGGCAGTTAGGTCTGTAGTTAGGAGCTGGTAAAATTTAGAGTTGGATAATTCTCTCTCAAGTTCCTGTATATAGCTAAATGTACTTTGAAAAGCCTACTCTAGTGATATATGCATTTTAATTATGTAGCTCTTTCCAAAGACATTGGTTCATTGTTAACAATATCTCTAATGGTCTAAATGAAAGAGCTTTCCTTGAGTTCATATATAAATAAATGGACATGTTTGAAACTAAATTCCTTAGATGCCCAAGTCAACTGAGGACAGCTTTAAAAAGAGACATCATGGCAGTATCTTTCTCTCTCTTCCTGTTCTAAAAAGTACTTCTGAAGAGCCCTATTACCTTTTCTAGTGGCATCTACATAGATGGGAAGAGGCAGCTAGATCTCCTCTTTCCCTTGCTGCTTTGCTCATGTAAGCCATAGTGAGTCTGAAAAAGAAAAAGTCTGCTTGTGTGTGGACAAATGGATCCACAAAGGGGTATGCTAACAGTTCCTCTCTCTCTCTCTCTCTTTGCCTTGACAACTCCAAAAAAGTAACAATTTAATACGCCTAAGCTCTCTTTCCAGTAAGAACATTTTTCAAGATTCCTTGTTCAGACGTTATTATGAAGATACTTAGAAGGGAATGTCTAGCCTCACCCTTCTGTCATCATGTTCTACACAATTTCAGCACAAAGTCTGGAGGGGATTTTCCAAATTATTTCCTCATTTGTAAATTACATACACAACTAGAAGTTTCTTCCCTTCAGATTCATTGCTGAAAGTAGGTAGAACACGGCAATGGAGGGACCTTCGGGTAGTGTGGGCGGCATATAAGTTAAATAAATAAAAAATAAATAAATAAATAAATAAATAAGCTTACAATATTTGTAGCACTGGGTTGATAGCGCTTCAATACAGTATTGCTGTTATAATGCCTAGGCTGGTGGAGTACCCATGGAATCAGTTGTATAAATCTGATGAATTGAGAAGAAGAACTGTACTATAATGAAATAAAGCTTTCTTACCTTGTTCCTTGAACAGCTCCAACATCAAAACTTTTGAGATATCCGCTGGCTGGCCAGTGCAGATCCAGTAGGATGGAAATGAGGAAGGACTTTTGCCCCCCTTTTGTCCTTTTTTGTTTGTTTGATTGATTGTTTGCAATGGGAAGGAATTTTTTTTTACACTAGTACCAGACTTAAATTTCCCCAGTGCTCCTTTGGCATGTCCAGGGAATAGAAGGGCTCGGGTTCCTTGGACCCAAAGCTTCCCCTGCTCCATTCACCCCCCCCAAAGAATTTCTCCCCTTTTGGCTCTGCTGACATCCGAACAGAGATGTTGCAGTGAGCGCTGCAGAACCTTCTGGAAAGCTCTGAAGTTAGAACTGTGAGGGCCGAGCTCTGGTGCTGTCCTTGGAAGGGAGAGAGCAAATCTGTCCTGTGGGCTCTGGAATGCCAAGGCTATCACCAGAAAGAGAAAATAATTCCAGGGCTGCCTTTTGTTGCCAACTGATCAAGGCAGGTACCAACACTGTGAACGTAGTTTGTACACCTCATACACAACTCATTTCATTGCACAACTACAGTAGTACACATTCCTCATCACTGTATCTAGACATATATTGTGTAGATGTGTTTTTGCTTGTGTGCTCTCTTTCTGAGAATTAGAAATCAAATAATAAGCTATAATGACATTTATTTAAATTTATTCAATATTAATTGAAGGAAAATAGAGTCCTGCGGACAGTACCTCTTCTGGCTGCTTGCCTACCCGAAGATAAGTGTAAAGTCTTGATTGGCCGACGCTTCAGTGAAGAGGGGTAAGGAACATTTTTTACTTAGTTTAGATAGATCTGCCTGCTTGCCTGCCTGCTAGTGGTTCTAAACTTGTGGTGCATATATGACTGGTGGGACAAAAAGCAATCTGGATGCGATACATAGGCTTCACAATATCTACTGAGAATTCCCTGACCCTGATTTCCCCATGTCCTCTTGCAAGTCGGAACGGTTGTCTTCTACTAATGAACTTCCCCTAGATTATCCATAACCTTCTGGCATGCTAGTAGCGCAACCTCAAGCAAATGACTGATCTCATTGTTTCTCTGTCTGTCTCCAAGGTTCATGTATTTGGAATATTTTACCCCAACTTTCACCTTAAAAAGGACTTGAAGCAGCTTACATCATTAAAAGACAGTATTTAAAGCTAAAAACAATGAGTATACAAAAGCGGTTTACATTATTAAAAGACAATATTTAAAACTAAAAACAATGAGTATACAAATATTAAAAAGGAACAAACAAATATCACTCTGAGAAAAGGTAAACAAAAGCAATACTAAAAACACATTCAGAGCAGCAAGGCCTCCTCCTCAGGCAGGCAATCACTGAGGGAAAGCTTGCCTGAAGATAAAGCTCTTTCCCCCCTTATGGAAGGACAGCAAAGATGGGGCCAGCTTGGCTTCCAGTGGGAGGGAGTTCCAGAGTCTAGGAGTGGTAGCAGAGAAGGTCCTCTCCTGTGTCCCCAACAATTATACCTGTGAATATGGTGGGTCCAAGAGAAAGGCTTCTCCTGATGGGAGACTTGGTCTTTGAGATAGCTTGAGCCCAAACCATTTAGGGTTTTATAGATTAGAACCAGCACTTTACTGTATGTCCTATACAAATTCAATTTGGCTTATGTACTGCTACATTTCTCCTGCTCAATTTAGTTCACAGTGTTTCATCTAGACATGTTAGATTTATCTTCTGGTGTTCCCCTCTACTCTCTTAACAGTGGTTTCCTGTCAGTTCTCTGTCCGTTAGAAGACTCTCATGTTTCGTACCACAGTCTCCTTTCATTCTGGCTTGTGTTATAATTTGTAAGTTTTCTGGACAAAATGTTCCCACTCCTTTCTAATACTTAGCACATAATTAGCACCTCCAGTATCAGAAGCTGTATACCTCCCAATAACAGCAGATGGGGAGAGTGGGATATCAGCAGTGTGCTCATGTCCTGCTTGTGTGCTTCCCAGAAGTGCCTGGCTGACCTCTGTGAGAACACACTTCTGAACTAGATAGGATTTTGATCTGATCCATTAAAATGCTGATATACAGTGGTGCCTCGCATAACGATTTTAATTGGTTCCAAAAAAAAACGTTATGTGAAACATTGTTATGTGAAACACCATTTCTCATAGGAATGCATTGGAAACCGGTTAATCCGTTCCAATAGGCACGGATTGCCGTCCTTAAGCGAAAAAACCCATAGGAAACATCGTTAAACGATGCAATGTTTCCTCCATTGGAATGTATTGAAGCTGACTCAATACATTTCAATGGCTTTGCGAAGTCAATTTTTGCAAATTTAAGTGTGTCATAAAAGGGTCAAAAATGGTTTTAAATGCTTGGATTAGCTTCTGCACCCTCTAAAATGGATGCAAAAGTTAATTTGGCTTTGATCTGACTTTTCGTTAATTTATGGTGAATTTTTTCCCCCCAACTTTTGACAGCTGTCGAAATCTGACAGCTCCATTGTTTCCTATGGGGGAAGAAAAAATTCACAATAAATTAACGAAGACTCAGCAACTGTTCTAAATGCTTGGGTTCGTTAGAGGACCCCCTAAGTCGTGTGCAAACCTGATTTGGCTTTGATCTGAACTTTCGTTAATTTATGGCGAATTGTTTTCTCCCCCATAGGAAAGCATGGAGCTGTCAGATTTTGACAGGTCCATTGGTTCCTATGGGCCAAAAAAAAAAATTCACCATAAATTAACGAAAAGTCAGATCAAAGCCAAATCAGGTTTGCACACGACTTAGGGGGTCCTCTAACGAATCCAAGCATTTAGAACCATTTTTGACCCTTCTAAGACACTTTTTAAATTGAAAAAAGAAACATCGTTAAGTGAAGCAGGGGAGCTAAAATCGTATTCGTTATGCGAAGCATGGTCCCAAACTTCGCTAAGCGAAAATCGCCCATAGGAAACATCATTATACAGTGCATATTATTTTCTAAAAAAACCACATCGTTATGCGAATTCATCGCTAAACGAGGCACTCGTTAAGCGAGGCACCACTGTATTAAACTCTTCCCCAGAAACTCATTGGCAGGATCTAGATGGTAGTCCTGCCTAGAGTAGACCTATTGAATCAATGAGATTTACATAATTATTGATTTACCATTCAGCAGTTGATTCAGCCAGTCTGTTTTAAAAGGCTCCAAGCAGACAAATTTAGAGTTAGATTTAACTGTCTAAATCACAAGGGGAATTTCCTTGTGTTTAGCTGCTGTGTGTACTGAGTCTCCACTAGTTTGGGGTCCATACTTTGGTGTCATGGCAAGCAATAAGACATTATGCCTGCTTCCTAGCTTTTTGGCCATATTTAGAACGCATTGGCCTTTGCAGTTCTCCGCCCCTACCTGAGCTACTGTTGTATCCTTAAGTGAAGTTCCAGTTCAGGTTATATACTTCCATCATATTCCCTGAAGAGCCACTATTGAAAGAATTGTCACCTGGAGCATTCTGCAACTCTTGGGTCATAACAAGTGGATGCTTAAGGACTGCATATGTGTCTGCGTATGTTGGAGAAAATAAATACGATGCCAAAGGAAAAAACAATGCGATGATTTTAGAAATACAGAGAAATGAAATGAAATGTACCCCAGCCCTAAGGGATAGTAAAGCAGCATAAAATGCACGTAGAGATTGGATTTCAGCCTTCATAACCTATCTGCTATTGCTCAGTATAATCTCTTGGCAGAAATCTGTTCAAAGAAATGTTATTAAATTCATAGCAGAAAAAAAGATAGTGGTTTATCTATTTACCGTCATGCTTAATTTAAAGTTTCCCATAAATAAATAAAACTATACTCTGTAATGTATAATACTTTATTTAATAATTATTATGTATTTTTGACCAAGTGTTTGTTCTATTATTCATCACAAAAGCTCTAACAAAGCAATAAAAGCTCTTGTTCTGGGATTTATTCCTTTTTAAGATTTATAAAAAATATTTTTGCAAGCCATTCTTTAATCATAAATACGATTTCAGTTTTACAATAGAAGATCCTAATGTTTTTTCTCAAGTAAACATTACTGGCAATTAGGAAAATATAATCTTTTATTGCCAGCCACAAATTAATCTTATACAGTATTAGCTTTTATGATGATTTTACAATTATTTGGGCAATCCTTTGTACTTAAGTTCTTGAAATTTATTTTTGACATTGTCACAATTCTAACTTTAAAAACAAGCAAGAAACCCAATAACTAAAATAATCCCAAACTATTTTTTTTACTTCAGAGTCTCTTTCAATGTTACTTTTTTCCTTCCTTTGCTATCTTTTTTTAAAAAAAAAACAGATTAATTTATGTACTAGTAGATTACAATGAATAGATGATTTATAAATAAAACTCTAATGCATGTTCGTGCAAACACTTCTGAAAATGGTATATGCATGCAGTTAGAAATTGTGGCCTACACCCAGCTTTGCTCTAACAACCTTCCATCAGTTCAGCAAAACATCCTTCATCCTCTACTGCTCAAAACTCTGTTCTTAGGGTTCTTCCAGATACTCAGAATATGTTTTGAAGGCCCTTGTTGACTGCAGGGGAGAAGGGGAATTGTCCCCTTCCATTCTGTGAACAGCAACTGATTCATCAATGGAACAATCCTACCGCAACCTGGCCAGGAACCTGACTATATTTATATACATACAGTACTCATATTTATATTATTAAAGTGTTCTGCTTCTTACATACAGCACTGATGTTACCTGTCTGTCATGGGTTTGGAGGGAAAGTTCCATCCTATGGGGAGTGGAAGGCGGGACATCAGGAGGAGGGGCTGTACTGTATATATATGTGGAGCGTGTGAAGGAGAGCTGGAGAAGAGCTGAGAGAAGAAGCTGGTGTGGGAGTCTGTGTGTCAGACAGGGTACTACTGTGTGTCAGTCAGTACCAACCTGATAGGTTCAGGTGTCTGTATGGTTAGCCAGAACTGATAGGTTCAGGGTCTGTGCTTTATTTAAAGGTGTTCTGTGTGAACCAAACTGGTGTATGTATGATTGAGACTAAGCCACGTTACTGTATCTTATTCACTTGATCATTTTATTTTCCCTGTGTGTGATTTAAATAAACCTTATTCCTTTATTTGTTAAAAATCCATCCCTGGTCTGTGTGACTTCTTATAGGGAATGGTTGGTGGCAGCTTAGTGAAACTGTGG